TATCCATCGAAAAATTTTTAAGAACTTTCAATTCCCGTAAAAATCGAAGGTTACAATTGTTTTAAATTCAATTTCGAGACATTTCTAAATTTTTTATGTGTTTATGTTTATTTTAGTTGTATCCAAAAATATAGATATAATTATAATTTCAATTAGATAAATAAGAATTCAAAGTATTTTTTATTTTATTTTTTTAATTTGTGAAAAAATAAAAGGTATTGGACTTCGAAATACTTATTTCCGAGTTTTTTTGTGAATCTTTCGTGTTTATTTTTGTTGTCTCCAAAAAAAAAATTTCAGAGTTTCAAGTATTTTGAATTTTTTATTTATTTATTTTTTTTTTTGGTCTGCCTCCTCCCAAATGTCATTTGCCCCCCTGAAAAAAAATCCTGGCTACGGGCCTGCTATAAACACAACAGATAATATTCCGGTATGCGTAAAGCAATATAGATATTCGCCGGTTCATAAACATGAGATTAAAAACCAAGTTGACAAACTGTTAGAACAAGATATCATCCAACCGTCCGTCTCGCCATATAACTCGCCACTTTGGATCGTGTCGAAAAAGCCCGACGCCGAAGGTCATAAACGATGACGACTAGTGATCGATTTCCGTAAACTAAACGAAAAAACGGTCGGAGACGCGTACCTCTTGCCTAACATATCGGATATTCTAGACCAACTAGGCAAAGCCAGATACTTCATGTTTCGATTTAGCTTCGGGTTTCCATCAAATTCCTATGAACTCGCAAGACGCTATAAAAACAGCTTTTAATACATGACCTAATGGTCATTATGAATATAAAAAAAATGCCATTTGGCTTAAAAAACGCTCCCGCAACATTCCAACGCTTAATGGATAATGTCCTAACCGGGTTGCAAGGAAATGTTTGCTTTGTTTACTTAGACGACATTGTTATTTACGCTCAAACTTTAGAAGAACATAAACAAAAATTGAGTCAAGTTTTTGAACGCATTAGAGAAGCTGGTCTCAGTCTATAACCTGATAAATGCGAATTTTTCAAACGCAAATTAACATATTTAGGTCACATAATATCAGATAAGGGAGTTAAACCAAATCCGGAGAAAATAAAAGCAATTGAATAATATCCCGTTCCCAAAAATCATAAACAAATTAAACAGTTTTTAGGACTAGTAGGCTATTATCGTCGATTTATTAAAAACTCTAGTCAAATTACACAACCATTCACTTCACTTTTAAAGAAAAATATACAATTTAAATGGAAAATGNAACAACAAATTAATTTCGAAAAATTAAAACAACTATTGTCAAGCAAACCAATTTTACAGTATCCAGATTTTAGTAAAGAATTTTTATTAACGACCGATGCTAGTGACGAAGGTATTGACGCAATTTTATCGCAAGGAAAAATAGGCGAGGATCTTCCAGTTGCATACGCCTCACGAACATTAAATAAAGCAGAACGAAATTACGATACCACGGAAAAAGAACTTTTGGCCATTGTCTGGGCAACGAAACATTTTCGACCTTACTTGTACGGCAAACAATTTAAAATTATTACCGACCACAAACCGTTAACTTGGCTATTTAATGTCAAAGATCCGTCATCCCTTTTAATGCGTTGGCGATTAAAATTAGAAGAATATGATTATAAAGTCTTGTACAAAGAAGGGAAACAGAATACTAATGCAGACGCGCTTTCTAGAAATCCACAAATATTAGTTCTTCAGGCAGAAGCTTCGAGTGGTACTAATACAGATGCGAGTTATAACCTATTTTTACAACATGCACTAAACGATTCTTTGTGAGAAACCGACAACATAGTCCCTCAAATCTCAGGTAGCATAAAGGGTCTTTTAGCGAAGGAAATTTATCCTTCTCCTAAACTGAAAATTACTCTTTCAAACAACAATGAGAATAAAGCGGAAGACGTAACTCTCACACCGGGAAATATCGAAATTGTGAAAAAGAAACTCTTAACCGAAGTAAATCTCATTACACGAGAAAATAAAAGCACTCCAACACGCATGGAAGACATATTTAACTGCTTAATCAATCTGAAAAANTACGCAATCTCAAATAATCGCACAGTAATTTCAATAGCACCTATAGGAGACGCGACTAATAAAACAAGAATAATTCAAATGATAAAATATATATTTAAAGACACACCGATTAAAGTATATCTGCTAGAATCTTTAACGCAGGAAATTGTCGACTCAACGACAAAACAAAATATCTTAAAAGAATTGCATAATTCAGCAATTGGAGGCCACAAAGGCGTAACAAAAAAACTTTAAAACGAATACAACAATATTATTCATGGGACGGTATAAAACAGGATGTTAAAAACTACGTAAGAGCTTGCCATGAAAGCCAAAAACGAAAATTAGTTAGAGAAAAAACAAGAGCACCTATGTTAATTACTGATACTCCAAGTGAAGCATTTTAAAAGGTAGCAATAGACATTGTAGGCCCTTTTCCGGAAACGGAGATAAGACATAAATATATTCTTACTACACAAGATCAGTTAACCAAATTCTGCACAGCTTATCCTTTGTTAGACACAAATAGTACAACAATAGTTGATATAATCGTTAATAAATACATTTATACTTTTGGTCCACCTAAGAAATTGCTGTCCGATCAAGGTAGTAATATTTCAGGCGAATTAATGAAAGAAATCGCAAAAATCTTTAAAATAAAACAAATAAAAACGAGTGTTTACCATCCTCAATCTAATGGAGCGTTGAAACGCTCGCATCACGTATTGGCTGAATATCTAAAGCAATTTATCAGTCACAATCAAAACGACTGGGATTCGTTTCTAGATGCTGCGATGTTTTCATATAATACCGCGTATCATGAAGGAACTAAAATATCTCCATACGAATTAATTTTTGGTAGAAAACCGCGACTTTCTTCCGTATTTCCAGAACCGCGACAAGGAATCATTCATAGGGAATTTCTTACAGATCTAACAAATACTATAAGTTAAATTACTTGAAGAAAACCGCAAAAGAAAATTTACTCAAAGCAAAAGAGTCAGCGAAAGAATACTACGATAAGAAAGTAAAACCGTTAGTTTTAGATCCGGGAGAATACGTTTATGTACTCCGTGAAACGGTCAGAACAAGTAGCAAGAAGCTGACCGATCAGTACGACGGATCATTCCAAATTATACGTAAACTAAGTGACGTAAACTACGAAATCAAACAAAACCAAATTTTACACGTTAATAAATTAAAACGCGCATATTTTTCGTTACAGAATGTTGATGGCGGTGACAACTAATTCGGAGTCGTTCGAGGGCTTCACAAATCAGCCTTTAACGCGACTGGCAGGAGTTTATTTTGAAAACCTAGGCGATCTTTTTATTTTTAAAGACCATTGGAAATTTATTAGTTATGTTAATCTCGTGCCGTTAGAAGAAAAAGAAAAAATACTCCAGTTTTATGCGCGAAAAATCGATCTTCTGTGTCATAGTCTCTATGGTCATAATATTGTATGTTCAGGACTACAGGAATTGCAACACATTGAGCGAAAATTAAAGATATTAAAAATAAACAGAGAAACTCTTAACGACATGGTCGAACGAATCGATGATGAACCTCGTTTTAATAGCCGCGATACAAGAACCAAGCGTGGCGTATTCAACTTTGTAGGAAAAATTTCAAAAATTCTTTTTGGTACACTAGATTCATCTGATGCCGATTATTATAACGAGCAAATCGATCGTGTTTATAACAATTCAAAGCAGTTATCCGATTTATATAAAAAACAAATTAGTATCATGCGATCTGCCATTAACAAGTTTAGTGATGTTTTTAGAGCAAATGACCAGAAATTCAAGGAAGTTGATTTTAACATCAATAAAGTCCACGAACAGGTTTTAAAAAACACTAAAAAGTTAACCGAAGTACAGATAAACACGGAAGTAAATTCATATTTGTTGAAATGTGCCGAAATGATGCTAGAATACGAATTAAATTTAGAAGTACTTACCGATGCTATATTACTAGCGCGCCGAGGATTGCTACATCCGAAAATACTTACACCAAAAGAACTATTTAACAATTTAAAAGACTCACATTACATGACAAACGACAAAAGATTACCCGTAGTATTAGAACCGAGCCAATTTAATAATTTAATTGATTCCAGCGACCTAAACATATTTTATAAAAATCATAGACTAGTTTACATTCTCGAGATCCCGTTGATTGAACAGAACGATTTCATTTTATACCACGTAATTCCGTTACCGATAAAACAAAATAAAAAAAATGTTTATGCGTTTATTAATCCATTGTATACATACATAGGATTTCGGCAAGACAAACAATTGTACACACATCTAACCGACCGAGATATCACAAAATGTAAAAAAATTAACGACGCTATGATCTGCAAACAAACCGATCTGTTATACCAAATTTCAACTATTCACAATTGCGAATCAGAATTGTTAAAATCTGCTAGATTAGAAGACATACTGAAAGAATGCGATATCCGCCTAACGAAAATTCATAACACCGTTTGGTACCAGTTACAGTCCGCGAATTCTTGGCTTTATACTGCGCCGCGTGGGGAAACCCTCCACATCTTGTGTAAAGATAACAAACCGCGTCAAACACAGTTACTTTCAACCGGATTTATTAAGTTATCGTCAGAATGCGATGCTATCTCGGACAATGCTCTGCTACACAGCCAAACCGTCAGCATTGTAGATACTATTGATAAAGATTTTATTCCTAACGTTAATCTCAGTACTAAAAAATTATGCGAAGATATCAAGAAAAGCGACGTAAATGTTTCAGAGCTTCCATTGTTGAACATTGGTAAAATTCCTCACTTAGATGTTAATCTGTTAAAGGTTTGGTGCATATATGGCTCAAAGGACCGCCTCAATTAATCTGTTAAAAACCGCTAGTTCTACATTAAACGAATTATATAAAGAAGCAGATGAAATAGGAAGGCATTGTAGAACAAAAACTCTGTACGAAAAGGCCACGAGCAGGTTTTATTATGTAGTATATACTATTATAGCGCTAGTTATTATCTACGTAACCGCAAAATGTTCGCTACTTAGTAAGCTCATTCACATTCTTAAATTGTGTTGTATACCTAAAGAAGGCTGCGTCCAATATTTTAATAATTGTTTTAATAACAACGTTATCCACACTGAACACCCGACAACTACACATCGCGAAGTTACATTTACACGCGTGCCTACCGACGGCAACGAATCTCCTCGACGTACCGAAAGAGAAGAAAACCGAAATAATGGGACTCGACGATCCCGTTCTCGTAACTATCGACTTACAAAAATGTAAACGCTAGCAAAATAAATTATAAGCAAATATTTTTGTATTACCTAAATGTAATTGTTGTATAAATTAATGTTTTTAGTATAAGAACTACTGTATGCGAATGTCAAAAGCATAAAACAGTGTTAAAACTTTAGGCTAATAAGTAACTCTAGATATATTTTAGATTTTGTATTTTTGTATTAGTTTGTACTTTTTATTTTCTCTTTGAGAAAGATCTTTATTCCAAAGGGGGGAGATGTTACGTGCCGCGATCCCTGTCGCCGCTCAAGTTACGATTTTATCTACTTCCTTTGTTGACACATACGACCCGCCGAAATCATAAACTAATAAATACAGCCCGATAAACTTCCTCTCCTTACAAACCCTCTCCCTAAATTTCTTCGTCGCCCGTTGCATGAATCTATGACTCACTAAAAGACAAATATTACGCCCCAGGAACAAAGGTCTAGCTCACACGTTTTAGTTTAAGACAAGTCAGTTCTCGTTTGCAGCTCAGACAAGCAACACTACCTCTCACATTAATAAAGCACCTCACAGAAAGTATCCTGCATATTCTTTTGTCTAATTACGTGGCTATCCGGCACGTAACAGCACTGGTAATCCAAAGCATGAATGCCGTCGATTCCGCTCTGAGACTGCGCACGAGCTACATCTCCTGTGTATCCCAGTCCCTTTTAGCTTCCTGTTCCTTGATCTGAGTTACGTAGACATAGCGAAAATATTTGGATTTTCTGCTGTAAGTAAAGCTCAGATCTCTGGGTTTTAAGTTTTCCACCAAATCTGTCGTTTTCACGACAACGGCGGCCTTACGGGTTGACGACCTGTGGATACGTCCACGAGGACGCCATCTTGCCTTTTTTCTAAAGTGCAATTGAAAACTTTTGTGCGTTAAAACCTTTCTAATCAGGTTTAACTGTTATTGAAAACTTTTGTACGTGTGTTAGTGTAGTGCATTTTAGACACAGTGAAACATATTTGTGTTAGAATTACGAAGATGACCAGTGAAAAGGTCGATGTAGTCATGTTAGAGACTGTTGCTGCGGTGCCAAGTGGTGGCCGCGGAACACGTAACGTGTCTTTAGTAAATACCCCCTCGTGCTCTTTCGCGTTCACGGAGTCCGTGGGGAAAAAACCTTCGAGGAAAAAGGATGGCGTTAGCCCAACCCCCCCCCCTCAAGCGTGCTTTTTTAGCGATGGCTACAAAGACAGCTGCTACTCAATAGATATTACAAGGACTCCAAGGGCCCGTTTATGGTACACGTCGAAACGTGCCGTCCACAACCTCCCTCTACGGGAGGAGATGGCCCCGAGAAAGAACGTAGCACAGGTAAAAAAGGAACTTCGCTTAGCGCCATTGGCCTGCAAGAGGCTCAATCGTCTTCTTTTAAATCAGTTTGTGCATGCTTTCGATTGTGCATACTTACGTTTGATTGGCAGGAATAAGTTTTCGGTCTGCTTCCCCACAGGTAGTGATGCTAACCGGTTTGTCGAGGCCTTCCGGGAAGTCACAGATAGAATAACCTCCTGCGAACAGTGGACAGCACATATCCCATCGTTCAGGGTGGTTAAACAGTTTGTTTTGAAGGGCGTTGACGAAGAAAAAACTGTCGAGGAGTTGTTGGCCGGTCTTTGCTATCTCCCTGGGTGGGGCTAGGAGTGGGTTCCTCCTTTTGAGGCAGTTAGAATCACACGTAGAGAGAAGAGAAGCGCCACCTCCAGCCCTAGGTATGTCAGCACAAATCAACTCATCCTAAGGTTTCGCACCCCTGTGGTTCCTCCGTCATGTTTGTATGTAAGGAAACGTCTCTCTTTAACACCTTACGTGTATAAGGTTAGACGTTGTGAATTCTGCCAAAGGTTCGGACACACTGTTCATTCATATAAACAGTCCGGTGACGAAAGACGCAGGTTTTGCGAAAAAGTGCGGCAAGTCGGGCCACTCCAAACCTAACTGCCTCAATGTTCTTGACGAATGCATAAATTGCATCCGCTTTAAGACTGGAAATGTCAATCATCAGTCTTCAGAACTCCGTTGCCCTGTTTTCCAGAGGCAACGAGAGATACACAAAATAATGGCCTATAGAGATCTCTCCTTCCGTGATGCGTGATGCTAGTCTGTATGACAAAGGAAACATCCTTTCTGGACTGGATTCCAACCTGTCTAATGTCTCAGTCCCCCTTTCCCACACTCGGTGAATTCTTCCCTAATAGAGATGTCTTTCAGTTTTCAGGGGGAAGAAAAGCTCTCCTGTGTCTTTGAGACCGTCCAGAGTGAGTCCGAGAGTGCCTTCCCCTCGGGTTGGGTCTATCCCTTCCCCTGAAGGTTCGGGCAGCCCTCTGTACAACTCTTCACCCACTTCTAATCTCTCTTATGCAGAAGTTACTTCTCTAAAGCTCCCTCTCCCCTCAGTACGTTTTTCACCTGAGTAGAGAAACAACAACGGAGGGATAGTCTCCTCCTCCTCGTCCTTAAATAAAAGATCTTCACTCAATCACTCACTCATAGATTCTATCGTTCAGAAAATATCTTCTGGCAGCAACTCCTCTGAGGATGAATCTTCCAAACTTTCTTCGGATAAAGAGTTCTTCATCACTGCCTTCCAGAAATTAAAAGTTACTCCTAACATAAACCCTTCGCAGCTTAGCAACACGGACATGAAAAATATTGTAAAAATACAAAAGTACCTATATGGTACTCAGGAACCACATAGTTAAAGCTTCGTATATTACTAAATGTATAACGACATGAAATCTTTTACTGTAGTCTAGTGAAACTGCAGATCTTTGGTCCGCAATCTAGACGCGACCCGTCTGCTACTCCAAGACTACAAGGCGGAGGTAGCGACATTCTGTGAAACATACCTCGATGGTAACTCCATAATCACCCTACCAAATCATGAAATCGTGTCGCACGATCGCAATCGTAGGGGTGGTAAAGTTGCCATTGCAATAGCGAAACACATTAAATTCCGTGTTCCGGAAATCCCACAGCTAATAGATTTATGCAAAGAAAACTGCGTTGAACTCGCAGTTGTAGAACTGTTCCTTCCGAACTCTTAAACCCTTTACGTTTTTTCTCGCTGTATAGTCCTCCTAGATCCTCTTCAAACTACACGGCACTTTACTTTTGACAGAATTTCTTCCTTTTCAGCTCTAAACTCCAACCAGCTATTATTTGTGGCGACTTTAACGGGAAAAGCCCCCTGTGGTGCACTACACCTCCTCTCTCTAATAGAGAAGGAAAGAATTTAGAGCACGCGCTAATCAACTCCCCTTGGGTAGTCCTCAACAATGGCAGTAACACATGGTTCTCCGCAAACCTTTCTAGGTTTTCTGCGATAGACCTCACTATAGTTTCCGACACTCTTGCCCCTCAGTGTACCTGGAACGTGTGTGACTATCATTATGGAAGTGACAATTTCCCTGTGGTCACCGCTATCTCTGACAGATTCTCTGGTCGCATTCCGTGTCGGATCTACTATTCTATAAAACAAGTGTGTTGGAAAGAATTTCAAACCAAGTGCCAAGAAGGGGTGAACTCTCTCCCTCCGCTAAGTCCTACAGAAGATGTAAACTTTGCTTATTTCAAACTAGTGACTCTCGTTGATGACTCCCTCCTACAGGCAGGAGCTATCCGTACAACCACCTCGAGGGTCTCTAGAAAGCCTCCCACGCCTTGGTGAGATGCCTCCTGCTGTGACATTTACTCCCGCAAAAAGGCCGCATTTGCACAGTTCCGTTCACACCCTAATATAAACAATTTAGATAACTACTGTCGAGTTGCAAATGAGGTGTCTAAAGCCCTAAGGAAAAAGAAACGCCTAGCTTTTCGTAAATACTGCGGTTCCCTACACGCCAACTCTGACGTTGGGTCTGTGTGGAGTACTGTCAAAGCTTTCTCTTGTGCTCGTAACAAGCCAAGAGATGAAGGCAATAGAAACTGCCTCGACTTAAAGAGTTTTCGGAAGGCCTTTGACAAAATTGCTTCTGTGGACTACCCTCTCCTCCGGACCATTCCAATCTTCACTAAATCCTCTAAACTCCAACCTCAATAATGAATACCTGGATAGCCAGATCACGCCCGCGGAATATTTCTCGGTGATAAAGTCGCTTAAGATCCGGTCGGCTCCAGGACCAAATCTTATCACAAATTTCATTATTTCTCAGTTCCCTCCTGTGCTTCATATGTATATAATTAAGCTCCTTAATTTAATGTTTTCCAGGCAGATTTATCCAACCTCGTGGAGGGACTATTTTGTCATCTTTATCCCAAAGCCGGGATGCAAAGGCGCTTATAGACCAATATCTTTAGCTAACAACCTTTTTAAGATAATGGAGAAAGTTATGTGTCGTTGACTGGAATGGTGGATTGAGAATAATAATATTCTTTCCCCTCATCAGTTTGATTTTAGACGGGGATTCTCCTGTACAGACAACTTAACTATGCTTGTGTCTAGTATAAAGGTCGCCAATAACACCCGTCAAGTAACTGGAGCTGTTTCTTGATATTGAAGGGGCCTTCAATAATGTCGTGCCTGACACACTGCTGGCCATGCTGCCTTCTTTTGGTATTCCTCCCAAAATGTTAGCTTTCTTGGCCTCAGTGGTGAGTTTCAGAAGGTTGAAAGGGTACGCTTCTGGCACTTATGTTCAGACCCGCAATACAAGTCCAGAACTACTTCAAGGGTCTGTCTTAAGACCCATACTGTTTAACATTTATGTATCCCTGGTCGAGTCCTGCCTACCCGCAGCCGCTAAAGCTTTTATATACGCCGACGACATAGTGATCTTCTGTTCGAACCCTTCAGTGTCGGTTGTCGCTCAGAAACTGAATGTGGCCTTGGACCGAGTACAGTCCCACTTAACCTCTCTTGGTCTTCGAATCTCACCTAGTAAATCTTTAGCCACCTTCTATTCACTCTGCCCTTTAAGAAACATGAAGTGGCTCTTAAAAAAGAAAAGAGTAAATGTCCACATAGGTGGGGTTAAACTAAACATAGAGTGGACAGTAAGGTTTCTTGGAATCCACATCGATTATTCTCTCTCGTGGAAAAAACATGTAGTTGAAACAAGAAAAAGAGTTCTTCCTCGCATCAACATCCTTAAAGTACTGGCAGAAATAAAGTGGGGAACCCGCTGTCTTGCTAACTGCATACAAGGGACTGGCGCCGTTTTAGAATGGGGCTGCTAGGTAACCTTCCCTCTTGGGACACGTGAGAACGTCGTGTTGGACCGCTTACAGTTTGCTTGTGCTAAGGTAGTTTGTGGTCTCATGCGCACAACTCCGACCAATGTGTTACTCGACATTATTGGCGAACAACTCTTACAGTGTAGACACAGATATCTCGTTAGTAAGTATGTGTGTAGAAGAGTCTATGCGAGGTCCAGCCACCCGTTGGGACGGCTACTGAGTGACACCTGTGGGACGTGGGAACCTATTTGTGCAGGAAATAAGTTCGGACTCTTCTCCGTGTACCAAGAACTTCAACACCTTGTTAAGAATGTTAAAAAGTTCTCATTCCCGGGGAGCCTTGCCCTCCCGTACCATGTCAGGTTCTTTGAGTGTGAGGTGGATACTGACACAGGGTTCCTTGCACGTCAGGCCGAAGACCCACAACAGTATCTCAGTGACTACTTTAGAAACCGCGGCATCTCTAGGGTGTTCTTCACCAACGGGTCTCGGTCCCCGGGCTCGAATGAGACACCACCTGCAGTTGGTTTTGCTGTAGTCTCTGAAGATCCCGAACTCGTCCACTACGAACGTGTAAATAACAACTCTACCATCTTTGATGCGGAGGCCCATGGCATTGTCTGTGCCCTGGAGTACCAAAAAGATTTTGGTTTTACAAAGTTTGTGATAGCCTCTGACTCTCTCAGCGTAATCTCTTGTTCCGGGTCAGCCGACCCTAAGGGTACACGCTCTCTCCTCTGATCTATCGAATAAAAGAGCTAGTACTGGAACTAAAAAGTGCTGGCGTGTCGGTGGTGTTGATGTGGGTCCCTGGACTGCAGCGTAAGTGGCAACGAAAGGGCAGATAAGTACGCTAAACTCTCTTTGACTCTCTCTGAACTTCGCTTTGAAGGTGAACTGAATGTCTCCTCGCTATTCCCCGCCCTTCGGTTGGACGTGTTGGACAGGGCCAGGAGACATCTTCTCGACAAAGCAACTGTAAAGGGAGCTGTGTACTTCCAGAGAAAGCCCGTACCCTTGGGTAAACCATGGTTCAACAAAGTAAAGAAAAAGAAAATTCTACCTCGTCCCTTAGTCACACTTGCGTCAGAGTGCGCTCACATCATACAGCAGTCAATGCTCACTTAAAGGAAAAGGGCATAGTGGCCTCCTCGAAGTGCTCATGTGGCCATCCAACACAAGACATTAACCATGTTTTCTTTCAATGTCTTATGTACAAAATTCAGTCTGATAATCTAATCAATGACTTATTTCATAATGGCTTTAGCCCTCCCTACTGTGTAGAGGAGGTCGCCTTTTCCAAATGTTTTCGCGCTATGTACGCTCTTCTTTCGTTCGTCAACATTACCAACATTAATATATAAACCTTTCCTGCAGAAGTTGTAACCACTCTCCAACTTTATTACACCTGTTCCTTTTCCCCAGTGATGTAGCACTTAAAATAAAATTCCTAGTATCGCGTTTCATTCAAGTTGTCTCAGACTGGCTTTTGCTCCTCACGTGCAGGGGCGTGCGCCATTTATGCAAAGAAGAAGAAGACGAACATGAATGCCGTCGGTGGCCTCTTTGGCTTGTTCGCGACTCTTTCCTTACGTTTCCTCGATCTTCGTGGCTTCTCCGACACCGTTTTCGCCGACTTGGACTTCTTTTCCTTCTTCTCTTTCTTCTCTTTTTTATGACTAGCTGCAGAAGCGTCTGAACCTTCGTCGCTATCGGTAGTATTCGGATAGCTATCGTATTCTTCAGCAACGTCACTTTCCTCTTGATTCGGTTTGAAATCTTCATCAATCAAAGCGTCCTCAGAGTCTTGATTGTCATTGTCGCGCTCTTGCGCCTCCGCCTTGACACGCGCCAAGTAAGCATCCGGCTCATCTTCCTGATCGCTGTCACTGAAGTCGTCGTTGTAATTTAGCTTGTCGGCTTTGCCGCGATTTTTGACACGGAGTTTCTTCGCTATCATGAAATCGAGCAGTTTATTGTACTCTTCTTTCTCGATGCTGCTGAAAGTATGCACCACGCCGCTCGTAAGCTCGACCTCGAAATCGAAAGATCTGGTCGAACCGCCGCCACGCGCAAAGTTCACCGAAGCTATTTCCTCAAAACGAATATGTATCGGCGGCTTGTGCACGTAGATAAAACCTCGTTCAAGCGGATACAACAATCCCGCCGCTGCTTTGAAAGAACAGCTAATCGCAGGAGCTCCACTGTGACCGACAAAGTGTCCGGGTCCGGTCAGCTTTCGATTGATAATTACTTTCATTACCTAGAATAATTACATAATAATTAAACATCAGACTTGAAAAAAAACAAAATAGAAACTTCATTTTTTTCTTTTTTACTAACCTTGCTGAGCACTTCGTATGTTGGTCCCGACAATTCTTTCGTGAGTTTATCCTCGTATTTCTCTTTTAATTCTTTCTCAGTAAACGGCAAGTCAATAGATGTCTCTTCCTCCTGATTGAATAGGAACACCAAATAGTGATAACGTGTTTGACCCTGCTTTATAGGAGGATCCAGGCGTACGACAAAGAACATTTGTCTGCTATCTTTGTGTGGCAATAAGAACAATCTCAAGACAGTCGATATCGGAATTTTGTAATCAAACGTTTTACCGTGCAGTTGAAAGAATGATTGAAAGATTTTGATGTCGTAACGACCACGTGGCGTCAAACAATAAATCTCTCTGAATATGGCTATAGCATCGCCACTCACACTAATTACAGATGCCTTGTCCATCACCTATTGAAATCAATAAAAAAAAACAATTAATCTTCTTGTTTGCAATCAAATTTGCGGAATCTCCCTTACTTGTTGATGGAACGCTTCCACAGGATCTTGATCAGCACTATCACTGACAGGAATATGAAATCTCATCTCCATCAGACTGACTGGGGCGTCATCGTTCTGATGAAATTCTAAAGTTACTTCGTTTTTTCCTGTTACACTGTGACACATCATACAGAGGTATTTCAAAAGCAGTATGATGGCCTACATCAAAGCTCAGAACAGACCCTGTAAATCTAGCTGTACCCCAGTTCTAACCTTTCAGACTTAATTCCTTCTCTAACATGTCCTTTTTGTAACAGAAAAGAACTTTGCGATTTTTTCCTGATCAGCTTCTTTGAATCCTTTGAAACGATGTAAAGTACCATTTTTCAGAAAGATATGCAAACCTCAGGTTCCAATAAATTTCTGATAATTTACCATCTCCATGGCTAGCGGGTATTTGTTCTACTTTTCCGGTTTTTTGATTTTTAAAGATCAAATGCTGATCAGTTAATTTTAATCTGCCTGGTGTCTGACGATAGAAAAAAACAATAGTATGTGTTAGATTACGTGTATATATTTAGTTATTAAGACAATTTCAATATACAAATTCATATGATGAAACATTAAATGTTTAACCACATAATTGTGTACCAATTATGTATTTAAATATATATATGATAGGTGATATTTCTTACCATAGCTCCTTTAACCTCAGCGAAAACATCCAGATACTCTAGAAAATCCATCTTTTGTTTACTCTTATTTTTTTCCTGAAGGATCAATAAATTTTTAATTGTTCAACGATGCGAGATATCCTACAACAATGGTATAAAAAATGTATTTCTAGAAAATTTGCGTATAAAATTTATCAACATTCCAGATACGCCATTTACACACCAGCTTATCTGCCGCCGAGTGACAACCAGGGCCACCAAACTGCCATATAAATTCTATGGGACCCGGTGGTACCAGCGTTAGTGGCGCCTTCTATAAGACCTCGTACCTGGCATGAACTAAATACGAATGTGTAAGTGAATACGTGTGAACACATTTCAACACGTTTTTGCCGTTAGTTATACGCGACTACATTGTGGATTTGTTAAATCATTTTTGTTACATTTTAATAAACATTAAAGATGGTAAGAGCATGTTGCGTTTCTACTTGTAAATCTGGGAGTAA